CACATGTCGATGCAATGGCATTTCTAAACCAACCTTAGTTCAATACATTGTATCGGTTCATGTTGATTCATGCGCAAAACTTGCTACGAAAATACCCACGGATATCAACCATACTTTACATAGCGGTATTATCCAACTGCAAATCTAGTTCCTCAATACGACGAAACTACAGAGCCATATATGCCCGCACGTGGGCCTGCGGCTCATCTGTCATACCTTAGCTAGCTAGATTTCTGCGTGATCCGAATATTATCATTCAAGAACTAAACAGCAAATTATGTTAGTGATCCTGTACTACACATGAAACATTGTTTAAGTCGCTGTTTTTTACTGTTTTGCATGTATATTATAGTTTTTCGTTACCGTTTCGATCGCGCGTGTGTTACAGCTAAAAATTCATCCTTCATAGGTGCATAAAAGCGAATTACTGACTTGACTTGACCAAGCTCAAATAACCATAGTACGGCACTTTGCGCGAATTAACTGCGGATATTCAGTTGCGATGCAAGTATGCGTAAACGCGTCGGGGTCCTCTGGCCTCAAATGGTAGGAACCGCTTCCGCGATTTCGGTTCAGTGTCCTCGGCTATTAAACAAGATGTTCCTTGAAACGGCTTGAATGAGCTCGAGATTGTCTTACAGGGTAAACAAAGCATATGAATGCCAGTACAGACACATTGGAGCATGGCCTCTGACTGTCTGGGGCATGTTAGAGCCTGCTATAAACTGCTTTCAGGTACAAACTCTTGCTGCAAAGTTGCGACTGAACGGATACGTGGATTAAGTTGCCAAAATTTTGAGTGGAGAGTAAGCTTCGCTATTAGCTAGAGTAAATCGAATGACAACACTTACTAGCCCGGTCGACTGGGTACTGGGCCGACGACGCCCCGATCAACAAGATGTTGTAGGTGTGTTGTCACAGAGTCGGCATGGAGGGTCTGAAGAGTGTTAAATAAGAACACCAACTGAAACATATAGATAACATCGACAAGCAGTACATAAAGCAGGTACCACAACTAATAAAGCAAGCAACGCATGCGGAAAAGCAGCGGACGGTCGATTCGACTTGGTGTGATCCAGCAACAATGTGCGAAGTGGTAACCGATGAGGCCAGGCAGCTGGTTGTGAGAAAGTTCTGCCCATTTGCAACTGACGGGCGTTGCTGTGGTGAGGAGAACTGGCTGGTCCCCTAAGCAAACCACCGGGCGTCGTGTTGCGTCGACAACAAATACATGATGTTACTGGTTTCAACGAGTAGTGGGATCATTTGATGATTTTCAGAACGAAAAAGTCGGTGACGGCAGAAAAACTGTTGAGAGTAGCCAATATTAGGAAGTAAGCGAGCTAAAGCCGAAAAGCATGCTGACATCTAGACAAATGTGAGAATGTGAGCCCCACAATGTAGCCGAGAATGCTTGGTAAAAATCATAAGCAACGCGAATAGTTCATTCACTAAGGGATAAGTGTGTTATTAACAGAATTGTTAATTCTAAAGGACGGAGATCTGACTGCACAAAATGATGGCGTTTGAACTGTTCGCTGAGCTTGGTAATTTTGTTGCAAACGTTTCGCCACCCATCGAGGTGACATCATCAGTGCGTAGTTGAGGCTCCTCTACGCTACTGCACGCCACTCAACTACGCACTGATGATGTCACCTCGATTAGTGACGCAACGTTTACAACAAAATTGCCAAGCTAGGCGAACAGTTTAACCGCCATATGAGCAACCTGAGCTACCTGTTTCCAATTCTATATGAACAAAATGAGTTAAGACCCGTGCACTGATCCCAAGCACTAACTTCAGACACTACTAAAACAAAAAATGTAGGTCAGGTTTTACACTGGCGAATACATTAGTAGCTGAATAGGTGCTCGCTTGGATCGAAGCCATCGCTTGCACTTAGCACTTGAGCACACACTGAGACTCTTCGACTGATGTACCAACTGGAGAGTGACCGCATATGAAGGACAGAAATCGAAGCCCATAAAAATATGATCACAAAACGTTCAATCGTAAACTAATTGCTCAATTTGATTGAATTCAAGAAGGGAAACCTGTTTTTCCCTCTCAGTCGGGAAGTGACATATCATTGGATCTAAACAGAGGTTGCGGACATAGTGATGGACGCTTAATGAATAAGCTTTAGCATACAGATCAATCGGTGTACGTGAGACTGCAGGACGTAATCTTAACCTAAATCTCTAGTGACGTTGAGACAAACCTCGTTCATCTCAAATAGGAACTATATCCGTTTGACATTATGACTAATCACCGCGTCCGAATTTCAAACGGACTACCTCGGAGGAAGAAACCGGGAACAAGCGCAGGGCTGAAAGCGAGTAAAGGGCAAGAGTACTTCCAGAAGGAAGTCATCTTAATTTAAAAAAAGTTAGGATGAGTTATTACCTTTAGAAGACAAGTTTAACATCCCGATAAAACTACTCTTGACAAGCCCTCAGCCGCACCACTAAGCTTGCTGCGGGAATCATTCAGCTTTTCCTGATTGCACTGAGGGTAACAGAATCGTGATACAATGAGAAGACGGGTATTGCACGATGATATCATTTCGCGTTTTCTGATCACATGCAAACGAGCGACGTCTAACGATCACGATAGGGGGAAATCACTGATTTAAATGGTGTCGGAATGGGAATGGAAGAAACAAAAGGGTAGAAACTCCAACAGAATCACAACATTTGAGACGAGTGCCACTATCCCCAAGGAAGCTTGAGGGTGACAGTCAAATGTTTTTGCACACATAGGTCCGGACGGTTGTGATTAATTGCCACAGCCTCCACGAGCTTGAGTATCTTGGCGTTTTCATTATGGTAGATAACCGTACACGCCAAGTTAGAATCAATTTGGTGCCCCGTTTCATGTAGATGTCTGGCTATCGAAGAGGCCGGCAATTTGGATCTTGAATTGTCCCGGTGATTGTTTTGCCATACTTGTAGCAACACATTTTGGGATGTGCTTACCGATCCGCTTGCGCAGACATCGGTCTGTTCTGCCGATGTAACTGCCTCCACAGTTACATACAAAGTTGCAAACGCAATATGTTGTGGCGGAGACCGACTGCGTAAGCTTAACCGGAGGCGTTGGTAACTTACTGGTTGTTCAAATTGGGCAGTTTTGCAGCACTGGATGTAGGTCGAATTGCCGTGGCAACACGCCGCTCGACTTGCGTAGAAACATCATCCCCTTTGAATAGCAATTTGAGATAGAAGGGCATTTTTGAAACCATAGGGAACTTTTGCTTGTTCGCTTCCATCGAGCGACCGTGAAACTTAATAAACGCTGTCGGGTAGCCATTTGCCTCCAGCGTCTGTGTGATGAACTGCAATTCAGCTGCGACATATTCAGGACTGCATATTTTACGAGCTCGTTGGAACAGCGTTTTTCGAGGCAACGCTTGTACCGGACCGGTGTGAAGCTGCTGAAGTTTTCGTAAAGTCCCGCCGTATCAAGCCATCGTCAGTTCTGGTCAAAAGTACATCCAAAAAAGCTGTGGCAATTAATCACAGCCGTCCGGACCTATGTGTGCAAAAACATTTGACTTTCACCCTCAAGCTTCCTTAGGGATAGTGACACTCGTCTCAAATGTTGTAATTCTGTTGGAGTTTCTACCCTTTTGTTTCGTCCATTCCCATTCCGACACCATTTAAATCAGTGATTTCCCCTTATCGTGATCGTTAAACGTCGCTCGTTTGCATTTGATCAGAAAACGCGAAATGATATCATCGTGCAACACCTGTCTTCTCATTGTATTATTTAGGCTGATACAGGGAACTCAGTGCTACAAGAATCGTGACAAATCAGCGCACCCACTTGCGTTACTTGTCTCCACAACTCACCAGTGGTTTTGAATACTGAAGGATACTAATTTGGCCGTTATTCGTTGCTCCGTCAATCGTTTACACAGCCCAAGTACTGCCCGGAGGAGTTAAAACCAGATGGCAGAAGCACAGTCATACATCTTTAATGAATGTTAGATGCAAGAGAAGAGGAATACAGCGTTCCCTCAGAGAGTGCCGCCTTGGCAGCAGTGCGTCGTGTAGGAGGATAGCCGTGCTATAGCGACTAAGGCGCACGTTTGCAACTTCCATGGCACGGGTTCTAGTTCCCGCCATTCTAAGGGTTTTGGCACCTATGCAGTGTTCCAACCAGCATACAACTGTTCGTGGTTGCATAGTTTCACAGCAATAGCGTAAAGTCTGGACGTACTGCTGACACCTTTACGGTGGATGCGGTCAGGGAATAAATCAATGCTACCGTTGAAGGTAAAAAGATACAGCTGATACTGAAATAAAGCGATCGATACCATCTCGACCGAAAAAAAAACAAATTGTGGGGTTACTCACAGAATTTGGATTTCGCAGACACGCGGCCAACTCCTGGAGACTGCAACCCATGGGGTGTTTGGAGGTTTTGAACAGAGTGAGTAGCAGCTGCTCTGCTGAGGAATCGCCATTTTTTGCCCAAGTTGAATCAACACGCGGTAAGGATTGCATAGTTGCAGTGCCAGGGACATCTCGGCTTGCTACAGAAGACTGTCAAAAGCAAAAAAATCAAGCGGTGCAACCGATATGCAGTGGTAGACCACTAAATCACACAACTAGCAGAGCATGTGGATGCATTTGTATATTCAGGATAAACAGCGCAAACACAGTGTTTCGTGTTTTGGCCGATGAATACACGCCATATGTAAATGAAGCGATCTCTGACGAACCCGAAACGAGCTAGGTAACCGAAAGCGGATTGGCCGCTTCGCGATATCAGCATCACGCATGCAGCTGTGTGTGGCTACATTTGAAACAACAAGGACAATGGACGGACTGGTGTGAGCAGAGCAGGTAAGTCTACCATTTGGCATTGCAACAAATTGAAACGACTTAGTAGTTGAGGGGTAACTTTTTGTGGTATACAAGTTGTAAGCTGTCTTGCGTAACCGTTTCAGGGGTGAAGGTTAGGTATCCTCGTCCATTAAAAGTTCAATAAGCCACCAAATAACAATGAGCCATTGTAATGTAGTCCCAAACCAGGATGTTTAGATGGCTCGAAAGCTTTTAACCATTGTCAGGCAGGCGTTTTTGGAAGATGCAAACTGTTAGTTCGCACTAAATGGTTTCACATTCTATGCACTTTGACCGAGTTGTTCGGCTGTGATCAGAGCATGGAGATGCAGCAAACCGCCGTATATATCTTAACCGTCCATGAGAGTAAAAAAGAGTATAAGAAAAAAAACAAAGCTGGATGGGATTGGACACCTATGCAGTGTCCCAGCCCGGACAAAACTGTTGTAGTTATGTGGCCGAAGCAAACTAGCACAAAATGCCAGCGTACTGCCGGCACCAATATTTCAGAAAATGAAAGACCAGTAGTCAGAAGAATTAATGAATGCAAAAAAGCCCCGTACGTCTTGACAGCGCAAACGTATAAATGCAGTTCCGAATCAATATAGTCGACTTCATGGAGTCCATCACGGAGGAAAACACGTCATAATATGGTTGTCTATTGGCCAATTTCTTCGTGCCAAGTGCTATACCATCGACTGACCACGATGAAACTAGGTTCAACCCAGAGCGTTTTGGAAACCCAAACGGGTGCATGAATTTTAAGCAGATTAAACTATCATTGCGAAGCCATCTCGCTGACTACATGATTGTCGTCTGGTAGTTCTTCTGAATACAAGCGCCGCTTCATAGAAAGCTGCGACAAAATACAATCATCGTTTCGAAAGTGCTGCGGCAATAAGAAGGATCCACGTAGTGGCAATAGTTGAATTCCGCCTCAATGTGACAAGCGACAGTTTGCCAACCCACCCACCCCCCACCCCCACCAACTGAGCTATGCTGGGTTACAGTACGCAACAGTAGAAAGGCAACCGTTAGTGGAAGACAGAGAGATGTTCGAATTCGCTGGTGAAAGCTTGCAAATATCGTAGGGTATCATCAAGTGAATGATTCAGATGCCAATAAATGTGTGCACGACGACAAATTCCCTGGTGCATGAGTGGGTCATCTGCTGAAATGGAACATTCCAGACTGATTGTGTCACGCCCATTGCAGTGGAATCGACTGGCTACCTAGCCATTTGTTGGTTGTTGTCAGTGAGCATGCCCACATGGGGTCTTAAAGCGACTTAGTGATCGATGCATAAAATGGTGAAGCAACGGGCTGAGAGATTTGACTGCACAACAGCAAGCGCATTTTGACCATAAATAGTTAAAGTAAGCAGTTTATCGGTCGGTGTCTACTTAAAAAAGGCCTGTTGTGTCTAGAATGCTGGGAAGGAGTAAAAATAGAATCAACACAAGCGTGTCGTTCATTGGACGAGGGATCAGATGCATTGATGGCTATACATGGTTGGCGGCATCCGGTTCCGGATTTGTCTGTCACTGTGGCCTCCATAGGACAGCCACAGGACGCATGTGCCTACAGAAGGAGCAGGGTAGCTTGCGCTGCACCACTCACAGCCCCATCTACACACTTCATAGCCAACATAAATCCGAAGGAATAAGACCGGAAAGCATGTGGATAAAGCCACGTTTCATCATCGAAGCCGGTCTGCATTCCTTCAACATGCACAGAAGCAGCAATGGAAATCATGAATACCAGGCGTACACAGGGCGGTGGCCGAGTCGTCATCCGCTCGATATTGCATGCATGGAACCACTATTTGAGCCTAGCATGGCCATGAGGACTGAGCACCCTGTCCCCCCAGCAAAGACTATCAGTCTCCTGGAGCCATTAATCGATGTGCGGGTGTTACACAAGTAGGTACCTTGTCAACATTCACATTAAGCGCAGCCACACTGGGGACATCAAACAACCAACACAGAATTTGAAGGAAAATTAAGACGCAAAGTCAACATGGAATACGCAGAAGAATAACAGAACTGAGCATAGCAAATAAAGTGGAAAACTTTTTATCCAAGTTAAGAAGATCTAGTTGAGGTGTAAGTCGGTTTAACTCAACTGTGGTGAAGAAGTAGGAAGTATGAAGAAGTATATATACTGACATGATAACACCGAGAAGACGAAACCGGTCTTCCATATGGCCCCTTGCATTCAGGTGTTAGATTTACCATTTACGATACAAATGTTGCCTTCTCACCGCAGTCCGGTCATACCATTAGTTTGCTCATACCTCTTTATATTTTCTCGAGATTCTTAGGTTTGGCTGTCCTGGAGAGCCATGGCGCTTGGGCACAACAAACTGGTGTTCATTTCATAGATGAATGACCGAAAAAACGAACGTTTAGAGTGTCGTCAGAGAGAATAGTCTCTAAGGAAAATCACTACGCGAAAGACCGTAAAGACGAGTTAGGCTACATCAAAGCTAGTTACCCAGACACGGCGGCTTCCGCCGTCGACCGCGGTCCTATGGTCATGCTGTCTGACACGAGAGCCAAGGGCCATGCGACGTAGCTCCTCATAGAACTGAAAATGTGCGCCACTGGCGAGTTCCGGAACAAGGAGACGGCCGTTTAATACCTTGCCAGATGTGTATTGACCGTTTAACTGAGTGTAGCTGTGATGAATTTTCCCTAAGCGAGCCCAACTCAACGGAAGGAGAGTTACGGGTACAGAGAGCTCCGAAAAGGTAATCCAGGAGAGTAACTGAGGGCACAATGAGAAGATGGAATCTGCTACTTTGACAGACTATTATTCACCAAAAGCTCACATCTTTTCCTCATATGTCTTCCCAACGCCCCCCCCCCCAGTTATCATCATCATCATCATCATCATACACGTTAGCTACAGCTGGAGAACACCTCAGCTATTGTGCCGCAATACACAGAAAAAAGGAGAGAAAAAATGCAAATGGTGCAAGCCGGCTGAGCTACCGGTAACGGATGGGCATCGTTCCGATCAGCTACCAGCCGGCTACTGTGCTTCAAAAAATTACTATGCACAATTATTTAAGGCTAAATAATGAGATCGTGGTTGGAGGGGGAGGCTAAGAGGGATGGGGTGGGACAAAGAAACTCACAGCACGAACGCCACTGAGGTCGGCTCCTAGCCATATCAGCAAGTGTGTCCAACCAAACGTGTTCATCGTCTTACGGACCCCAACCAGGGAGCCGAGACGTTCCAACCAAGGCCAGCTCAGAAGTGAGGGCCTTCATTCCTCTCGACCAAGTCGCCGCTTGGCCACCCCTCCTCTTCTTCCATCCACCCCCGGCGCGCAAACAACACAAGTCGCGGGAGCCAGTGGGCTGGCATGCGTAACATGTGGCAGAGCCATCGGAGCCTGATGCGTGAAATAACGGTGCTGAGCGGTTCATTTCCTTTTCCTGTGCCATAAACAAGGCGTCGAACACCCTCGTTACTCACGCGGTGTTCCCATCAAATGTGAGCTAAATTGCGAAGGCACCCGTGGTCGAACGTAACTAGCCTCTTCAGGTCCGCTGCTTTAAGGGGCCAAATTTCACAACCGTACAGTAGGGTCGAACGTACCGCTGCATTGTACACTCTACCCTTCAGGGCAAGAGTGATGTCGCGCCGGCGCCATAAATGGCGAAGGTTGGCGAAAGCGCTCCCGAGGTTTTGCTATACGGCTCGTGATCTCATCTTCAATCCCACGGGCGCTGATACAACTACCCAGGTAGTTGAATTTTTGAACGACTTCTAGTTATCATGATTGTCCTAAATTAATGTCAATATGGTGATGCGGGACAGGGTGAGTCTAACAAAAAACACGAAAAGCAAGTGTCAGGTTACAAGATGACTGTTCTTTTTAAAATTCGCTCTTCAATGAAGGATCGAGCGAAAGGGAGAGTCAGTGGTCGATACGAACATGCAGCGAAAACGTCCGGTTGAAAATATTCAGGAACCACGTCAATAAAAGCTAGGAACCTGCGTGATTACAAAGGTTCTTTGCTAGTTTCCTGGATGATTGAAAGAAAAATCGACTTAAACAGTAAAATGAGTTGGGAAATCAAGGGATTTCATGTTGAGCCCTTAAATAACTAAAATGCCGGAACTAGAATGGAAGGGTGACATCTATTCCGGAGGAAACCCGCACGCCATATGGTGATTGATATCGTTAATACGTGGAAAACCTAGAGACTGGTTTGCTGGTGGAACATTGGAACATGTAGCATAAAACCGGTTATCGAGAGGAAGTGAAATGGGCAACACAACTGCGTGGATAACAGTAACTTCACCGGAGTAGAGTAGCTTTGCGCTTTGTAAGAATAAAATCCTTAAGGTGGATGTTGTGACGGGGCAATGGAGAGGCGTATCAACTCAATCGTGAACACCTCTTGGAAGAACAAATTCATCATAGTATCATCATCATCATCATTACACGTTAGCTGGAGGTGGAAAACACCTCAGCTATTGTGCCGCAATACAAAATAAAAGAAAAGGAAAAGTGACAAACAGTGGCAAGCCCGCTGAGTCCCCAGTGACGGATGGACATCGTTCCGGAGAGCTAACAGCTGGCTGCCGTAAAAAGAGAATCATATTATGCCTAACAGGTGAGATCGTGATTGGAGGGGGATACTAAACAGGAGGGGGATGGGCAAAGGAAATCACAACAC